TTTAAAATTAGAGGCAACCACTGCATTTTAATCATGATCCAAACAAAGATGCAGCATACATGGAACACGAGCAGTTTTTAAACTAAATTAGATTGTATAATTTCGAAATTTGAAGCAAAAACAGAATAGTTTGACTTCAGTTTTGTGAAACTATACATAAAAATATCTGCATGAAAGAGCGGACGAGCTGAATAAGATGCAGATTCACTCTCTGCCAGCAGGTGGCGCTTATAGCGTTTCCTTGGTTTCCGCTGTAAACAAAGCAGCGCTGCACTTATGAACTTTAATATGCATTATACAGAGGCAAGAGGAAAAGAAAAAAATACCATCTAAACTTTTCTAAAGACAGTCAGTTCCACTCAGACATGCATTCATATAAACTCCTACCCCTAATTGAATCGCGATTTGTTTAGCATCTCACCGATTTGAATAGTCACATATTTGAATCGATTTTCAACCGGCTCGCGGTTAATCGTTACATCCCTATCTAACAGCACTCACCTGCTGCTGAAGCTGAGACTCTTTCGAAGCACTCTGCTCCATCAGTTCTGCGTTCTCTTTCTGCTGTTGCTCCAGCTCCTCCTTAGTAACGTGCAGTAAATCCTGATACATTTTAGACTGCAAGAAAGTATAAACAGTCAGTGAGATGTAGTGTGGAGCTCAGGTGACATTCATGTGATGACATGAAACCTCACAGTCGCAGCTGCCTCCTGAAGCTCTTTCCTGAGCACCACCCTCTGATTCCTCAGAGACTCCATCTCCTCAGTGAGAGCTTGAATCTGGACAAGATCACAAAGAGATGAAACCCACATCGAAATGAATGGTTCTGCTTCCAATTTTTATTCCGTTAACAATTCTTGCAGATGTTTTGAAGAATGCTGGCAACCAACAGTTTCCATTCCCATTGACTTTCACAATATGGGACCCTGGAGCACAAAACCGGTCTTAAGTGTCAATTTTTCCATTGATGTATGGTTTGTTAGGATAGGACAATATTTGAAAATCTGGAATTTGAGGGTGCAAAAAAATCTAAATATTGAGAAAATCATCTTTAAAGTTGTCCAAATGAAGTTCTTAGCAATGCATATTACTAATCAAAAATTAAGTTTTGATATATTTACGGTAGGACATTTACAAAATATCTTCATGGAACATGATCTTTACTTAATATCCTAATGACTTTTGGCATAAAAGAAAAATTGATAATTTTGACCCATACAATGTATTCACAAATGTAAAAAAAATTTACCCTTATGACTGGTTTTGTGGTCCAGGGTCACATTTGTGAAAGCGGGAATTAAAATTAAGAGCTGCAGAAACTCTGTATGCACTATGTGCTCTCTTGCATTAAATGATTGCACACAGTGTTACGTACCTGCTCAAGTTGAGCTTTCTGCTTCTCTGTGGGTTTCTTCTGTTTGAGCTCTCCTTGGACCTGGATCAGCTGAAGAGAGAGAGATATGAATGAGTTAACCAACTCTTAACCTCTTCATTCATTCAGAAAGGCACACGGGTGTGTGCTGTTACCTCTCGGACACCCTGCAGGATCTCCTGAAGGTCTCCTTCGCTCAGAGACGTCATGCTGGACTGGTGACACGCAGCGTCTCTCTCCGTCATCAGACGGTCTCTCTCGGCACAAACTGACTGCAGCATCTGTGAAGCAGCGGAGAAACGTTCTGCTTCTGAATCACACTCGGCAGCACAGGAGTTGATGGTGTACGATATGGCCATTTTTGATCGTGGATGATTAAAATGTCTCCACAATCTGCTTTTGAAGAAATATCGTAGTATCGTGCTACAGCGCACATTCTATCAGTTCTGATGCCTCCGCCTCAATTTACTGTACATTCACATCAAATGTTAACTCGGCGGTAGAGTTACACTGCACTTATTCACAATCACAAAAGTACATTATTTGCATGTGCTTTAAAGCCTTGCCGGTTACACATTTCATTCACGTTCTGTACTGCAAAAAATGATTTTCTTCCTTAGTATTTTTGTCTTGTTTTCTTGTATAAATATCTAAGATGCATTTACTTGACAAGTAAAACAACTTAATATTTTAAGAAAACAACACATATCTTATCCAAATTTTGTTAGTTTTTGCTTAAAACAAGTAAAAATATTTGCCAGAGGGGTAAGAAAAATAATACACCTACCATACTTGAAAAATGAAGCACTGTTTGTTTTTTTGTATATTATGTGTACTTGTGTATCTTTGTTCTTATTTTTTAATAACAAAGATAATATAATGACAAAGACTTTAATCTTCACCCACTTTGGACTAAATGTCTGCCATTCATTTTTTTATTTTATTTTATATTACGTAACCTAGTAATGCTTTTTTTTTTTTATACTGAAATTCGTTCTGCAGTACTTCTCAGACAACTTTCAAATAGTAAATAGTAAAACCAACATGACAGAGAATCGTGATAAAATCATGATTTTTCAGAAAAACCCCGTGATGATATTTTTGCCATATGCTTCTGTTACCATCTCGCTCTTCTCCAGCTGCTCGCTCTCGTCTCTCAGGCTCTGCAGCATCTCCAGCAGACGATCTCTCTCTCGAGTCAAAGCGGTGATGCTAGCTTCAGCCGTCTTCACCTCTGCTAGCTTCTCCTGCTGCTCTTCGGTTCTCTCAGAAAGCAGCCGCTCTTTCTCTGCAGAGGACGACTGAAGCTCTTCTCGCAGCTGCAGCAACTGATAAGAGAAAATATGATCCCATAAGGGCGATTCATGAATCAGGGGAACTTTTCTGGATGATTTAAGAAAATAATGGAGTGGTACCCAAAATAAAAATTTTTTGCTATGATGCAAAATAAAGTTACTAATCTGAGTGACAAAATCCACTTGAAAGCTCATTAAGGCCATTATGATGTGATATGTTTAAATGTAGATGAAAAAGACAGTTCAATCAAATATGGAAATTGTGTAATTATTTACTTATTAACCTTGTGTCGTTCCATTTTTTTATTTTTTATGTTGGGAACAGTTTCCATTGACTTTCATAGAATGGACAAAAATGTAAAAAAAAATTTCAATGGAGGTTAAAGGGAACCAAAACTGTTTGGTTACAAAGATTCTTCAAAATAACTTCCGAGTTCCACAAAATAAAAAGTCATACAGGTTTGGAACAACAAAAGTGTGAATAAATAATGACAGAATTTTCATTTTTGGGTGCGCTGTCCCTTCAAGTCAAAACTGCCCCTAATTGGAGGAGGACTCAAATCCCTCACAGTCTCGTCCTTGTCCTCCAGGTCTCTCCTCAGCTGGTTCTTCTCCTCTCTGTTGACCTGCAGGATCTCTAGGAGCTGCTCTCTCTCCTCAGTGACAGAGGCCAGGCTGCTCTGCACTTCCTCTAGAAGCGTGTTCTCCAGATCGCTCTTGCTCTTCTCAGACAGCAGACGGTCTCTCTCGGCACAGGCCGTCTGGAGCTGCTCTCGCACCTGGACCAGCTGGGAATCATGGGAGGATTGTAGGGATGTAACGATATCAAAATATCACGATACAATAATATCGCGATATTAAGTCCACGATACGATGTTTATTGCGATATTTAAAAAGAAAAAAAAAAGAAATGAATTCGAAAAAAAATGAAATTTTTGTACATTTTAAAGTTATTCTATCTAATGTACTTTGAGAGTTAAAAATTAAGAGCTGCAACCCATGTTCTTAACTAAGAAAACTTAAGTCAGAAAAAAGTCAGTGAATTGACTTGTACCTGAATTTTAAAGGGAACTCAAACCTCTTTAAATTTGTGATATACTGTCTCAGTCTAAATTACATTCACACTGGTGTTTTAGGAACACCACCACCAACACCAAACACAACAACACCGAACACCACACCACCAACAAACAAAACACCACCGAACACACCAACGCCACCAAACACAACATCAAACACACCAAAACCAACACCAAACACCACCACCAACACCCAACATCAAACACACAACACCACCAAACACAACACCAACATCCAACTCCAACAACACCACCAAACACAACACCAACACCACCACACCACAAAACATACCAACACCACCAAACACAATACCACCAACACCAAACACCCAACATCACACACACACAACACCACCAAACACAACACCAACACCCAACTCCAACAACACAACACAAACCCACCAAATACCAACACCAATAACAAACACAGCAACACCACCACCACCCTATTGTTAGGGGTGCTCTGATTGATCGGCTACTGATCACTATCGGCCGATAATCGCTTTTGGTTGTTTGATCGGCGGTCTCTAAAAGGCCGATCTCATAAACTGATCTCAAGCTGTTGACGCTGCCGTGAGAGGTTTGGCACGACATGCAGCGGCACAGTCTCAGTCTCTGTCCGGCGCGGGTGAAATTATTATAATGCTGAAGGTGAGGTACAATTCCTATTTCTTCATTAAATAACAAAGTAATTTGAAACTTTCTGTGAGAATTTCACACACACACACAACGCCACACATTACTACGTTTGCAGTGCATATTTTTTCCGTGCTCATGTTAACGGATTAAAGCGTGCACACGGTTGAGGTCCGGCAGTGCGTTCAGGAGCGGTGCGTCTGCAGCAGCAGAGATCGTTTCCACACAGAGTCTAACAATGAGAGCCGCATTGTTTGCGGTAAATATGAACATGGATTGACACGAAAATATAATAATTACACCATAAATGCATATTATTAAAGTTTACGGTGTTTCACAGTCAACACATATGGCTTTTTGGCTGGGTTTAAAGGAAAAGAGCACTTTTAGATAAACAAGACAATAATAGATGGCACTCGTGGAGGAAGGAAAACAAAGTTCTTTATGAACCGCAGGATTGATTTAAATGCAAAAGAAAAGGCAGTAGAGCTGACTGCTTCTGTCAATGGTAAGTAGTTTAAATGTTTTGCCACTTGCTTGAGCAACTTAATATATAAATCTAGAAGTAAATGCAAAAGTAACAAGCATTGAATGTGTTTATTTATTGCGTTTAAACACGTCTATGAAAGACAGTATTACTGCACTGTGTTAAAAAAAGAATCACAATGCTAAGAAAGCATTTTAAGTAGCAATGTTTGGATTTGAAATCAGAATAATGTATAAACGTTGTGTTTGTAGTAAACAGCCCTGGATCAGCAGCAGACTCCTGTGTGAAAGCTGCTTCTGAACCACACATGGACTGCAAACGGAGTATGTGTGAACCTCATACAGCTCACGAAATCAGGCTTGTGCTGTGTGTAAGCTATTGTGCAACAATTGCACGATTCTCAAAACAAAAATGCAGTGCATTTAGGCGAGATAAATATATATTTTTGAAAAATGTCTAATAAAATGCCCTCCACTCCTCAAATTAAAAAATCCCCCTCACAGGAGTCACCTAAGAGGGGAATTCGTTTTCAAAAATGAAATTCAGACCCTGAATAAACATCTAAAAATCTTGATTGGATCATCACTATAAATAATTCTACATGATGAAAAGGCTTTAAAAATATCGGTATCGGTGATGGTATCGGCAGATACTGCTTTCTGTGATCGGCCTCAAATCCTGATCGGAGCACCCCTACATATTGTAAAAATTGCACTGTAAAATAAAATAAAATTTGTATTTCATAGGTATATTATTTTTGCTTTACACTACGGCAGGGAAATTACAATACTTTTCCTAATTTCTACACACTACAGATATTTTGAATTTGGACTGCATTTAAACCGCTGGCTGTCAGCAATTCATACTGCACTTTATGCTTTTATTTTGAAGGAAAACTCCAGCGTCAGTGAAAACAGGCTTACAAAAACACACACGTCTCACTACAAATCTAGTGAAACGCTGTGATCATCTGCCGCGAAAATAAAGCATAACTGGTGTCTGTTGTGTTTCCAAACGCGCACTAAACTCACAGCACGTGAAATAAAGGAGTTGACTGCATTCATTCAGTGTGAACGAGTCGTTCTGAGACGCAGAAAACACCGGATCACGAGCTGATCGTCTGAATGAAGTGTGCGCTTCGCTTTGAAACATGCAGCGAAAACAGACTTGATGAAGAGATTAAGCACATTGTGCTTTCAGTTTTAGTTCGTTTGACGGATACAGTACTGTGCCAAAGCATAATGGCTCAAAACACAACTTTAAAGACCTTTTATGTCTTTTAGAATAAGAAGTTTAAATAGATTTTAAAAACTAGACTTTTAGGAAGACCTAACGTTTCATATCGTCATGGGACCACGACAATATTGCGATATTGATAATATCGTTACATCCCTAGAGGACTGTCATGTACATGTGAACAGAGATGAACGACACTGAAAAGCGTCTCACCGTCTGGTCTCTCTTGAGCTGCTCGCTCTCGTCTGTGAGCCGCTGTAGAGTCTCCAGGAGCTGATCTCGCTCCTCGGTCACGGCGCTCATCTCCTGCATGTCTCCGGTTCTTTCAGACCACACACGGTCTCTCTCGGCACAAACGGACTCGAGCTCTGACCTCAACTGGACCATCTGGATGAAGGGAACACTTCATTAAAACACGGAAGCCAGAGAGGATAACATGTTTTTTTTAACATTTCAAAAAGTGAAACTTTCATATATTCTAGATTCATTACATGTAAAGCAAAACATTTCAAAAGTTGTTTTTGTTTTAATTTGGATGATTAGAGCTTACAGCTCATGAAAAATCCAGTATCTCAAAATATTAGAATATTTACATTTGAGTTTCATTAAATGACCATCCCTACAGTATAAATTCCGGGTATCTCTTGTTCTTTGAAAACACAGTAATGGGGAAGCCTGCTGACTTGGCAATGGTCCAGAAGACGATCATCGAATACATGAAAGTTTCACTTTTTGAAATAAGTTCAAAATAATTTCACGATATTCTAATTTTTTTGAGATGCACCTGTACATATATATTTAACAGCAGGCGGCTGATTGAAAATGCAAATTCATTCTCTGCCAACAGGAGGCGCTTTTTGGAGCGCAGAAATAGCAGTTTCCCCGGTAACGGCTATAATTAAACAAGCACTGCATTCACAAATGCTACTTTATCAGCCAAGACGAAATGAAAATGACATTGAAGCTTTTCTGAAGACGGTCGGTTCTTTTCAAAGATACATTCATATAAAAACACCAGCGCTGCATTCAGATTTTGAAACGTGCAGTGCTCGGTTTATTCAACGTAGTCAAAGCCTTTTGAAAATCGATTTGTGGCGGTCAATTATAATATTGCGGCGAGCAGCGACAAATAAATCAGTGTATAGGAAACACTGAGCTATACTTCCACAAGTCTTAAGTGCCACTTTTCTGAAATTGAGATTTATGCATCATCTGAAATCTGAATAAATAAGCTTTCCATTGATGTATGGTTTGTTAGGATAGGACAATATTTGAAAATCTGGAATCTGAGGGTGCAACAAAATCTAAATATTGAGAAAATCATCTTTAAAGTTGTCCAAATGAAGTTCTTAGCAATGCATATTACTAATCAAAAATTAAGTTTTTATATATTTATGGTAGGAAATTTACAAAATATCTTCATGGAACATGATCTTTACTTAATATCCTAATGATTTTTGGCATAAAAGAAAAATTGATAATTTTGACCCATACAATGTATTATTGGCTATTGCTACAAATATACCCCAGCGACTTAACACTGCTTTCGTGCTGCAGGGACACAGATGATTATTTGCAGTGCTGGACTTCCATTGTAAGTATAATGTGACTGTAAATCTATTTTCTGTGGTAGGATGTGATAAAGGCTGAGCGCAGCCCAGAATACTCTTAAATCAATGGATTTTTTACCGTCTGCTGCTCTGTCCTCAGCTGCTCCACCTCGTCTCTGAGGCTCTGCAGTGTCTGCCGGAGCTGGTCTCGCTCCTCCGTCAGAGAGCTGATGCTGGCCTTCATCTGCTCCATCATCTCGGTGTCACGGAGTGTGTTCATGGAGCATTCAGACAGCAGACGCTCTCGCTCACAGCACACATTCTCCAACTCCTCTCTCAGCTGCTTTATCTGTGGAGGTCAAACAGCAGAAACCGTTTGTATTTCCTGACTCGCAGTCAATGAATTCAACAAGTAGTTGGATAATCATTGTTGTTTCCAGAATTGTGACTCTTGTTTAAATAACAGCCCTTATCAATCCCTGACATGATCTACCTGTGAAGTGTTTTCAGAGTCCTTCGACTGCATGAGCGCTCGCTGAGACTCCAGTTCTTGTACAGTATTCTGAAGATTTTTCACCTTCTCAAGAGCTCCTCTCAGCTCCTCTTGATTTTCAATCATCTGCATTTGGGGAAAAAAAAAAAAAGGATTTTTAACAAGACACTTAATAAGGGGCTATTCTGAAGTCACAAATACAAGCTAAAAAAATATATATAATATTTCATGACCCTCATTACATCAGAAACATGCCAATAGTGTCCAGTGTACATAGTTCAACTTATAAAAAACCAGTTCAAAAGTTTGAGATCAGTAATATATATTTATATTTTTATATATATATTTTATTTTTTTTTGTAATTATAGCACTTAGTTAAAGGTTGAACAAAACATCTTAAGAGTTATTAAGATTGAAAATGGATTTTGCATGACAACATTTATATTTTCAGTGCAATCGTCAAAATTTTCTTTGTCTTTTGCAAATAAGCAACAGTAATGATGCTGAAAATACAGCTGCGCATCACAGAAATACATTACAGTTTAACAGAGATTCACATAGAAAACAGCTGTTTTAAACTGTACTAATATTTTTAAATTTTTACTGTATTTTTTATCAAATAAATTCAGCTGCGCATCACAGAAATAAATGACAGTTTAACAGATATTCACATAGAAACAGCTATTTTAAATTGCAATAATATTTTAAAAAATTTTACTGTATTTTTGATCAAATAAATTCAGCTTTGATCACAGAAATAAATTATATTGTAACATACTTACAGAAAACACTTGCTTTAGATTTTTCACATTTCTCACTTTTTTGATCAAATAGATGCATCCTTGGTGAGCAGAAGAGACTTCTTTCAAACACAATAAAATATCTTACTGACCCCAAACTTCTGGTAGTGTGTTTATCATTTTTAAAAGATTAAATTATAAAATAATACCAAAAACAGCATGTGCTCATGTCATTCCCATCTCACCATTTCGACATTCTCCTGTAGGTCAGATTTTATCTGGTTCTTCTCCTGACTCACAGCGTCCAGCTCCTCTTTAAGCTGCTGTATCTGTGAGAGAATGCACTCCATAAAAACCATGATCATCAATATCACACGTGCTCCAAATCAAGAGCGTGTGAAGGTCTCTGATTACCTGCTGGAGGAGTTCATCATGCTGTGTGACTGTGTGTGAGCCGCTGCGTTCCTGCTGGACCTGCATGAGCTGAGAAGACACTTGAAGAGTTCATTTGCAAAAAACCGATAACTCCATTTTTATCTTTTTTCAGAAATCACTTTTTTTTTTTGCGCATTCCAAGTAATATCAATCAAACTGCTGCTGGGTTGTTTAGATTAAGTAATAATAACAACTTAAACAAATACAGGTAATTTACAAAATTAAAGTTAATTGAAAGTATGTTTTTTTTTACATATTAAAAGTTTGTTTTATAGCAAAAGCAGATAACTCGTTTAAAAAAAACACTGGTTTAATCTTTGTGATCTCCTCAGATGACAATGTAGACGCCTGACAAACGTTGTTGTTGTTATCAAACTGTATGGATGTGATTAGACACAATACACGCAGCTTTTCCCTCACTATTGTAACGCGCTGCTTTTGCAAGCTTCCCTGAAAACCTTTCAGCTTTTATTTTCCTTTTTCACCCTGAAGATGATATCACAGGTTCATCGAAATGATCCTCGGATCACTTTTAGTCAGCTTTGATGAGACTCCTCTCAGCTAGCACGTCTTTTCAGAGTGAAAGTAGCCTTGTCACCTGACCTGAATACAGCGCGCTGATTCGCTGAAATGGATTTATCGGCTTCTGTTCAGAAACAACAAGTGTGTTTGTCGGGTTCTGCAGTAAAACGTGAACTCACGATGCCTTGAAAGTGGACAAAACCGGCTTTTTTGACAAAACGTGTTTAGGGTTCAGATCGTGCTATATGTGGAGAATGCAGTTTTTTTAAAAGTGGCGTTTATCGGTTTTCGCAAATGAACTCTTCACGTCCTATAAAAAGACACTCAGCTCAGTTTATCATTTATATACTAATATAAAACTCAGCATTTACCACCCCATTAGTGTCTTCAAGGTCCCTCTTGAGCTGGTCTCTCTGGTCTCTCAGGCCCTGCAGAATCTCCTGGAGCTGCTCTCGCTCTTCAGTTACCGTCTGGAGGTTCAGGAGACGTTCTGATGTCTCTGTGAGCTGCTGGGTCAGTTCTGCTTCCTTCAGCTGAGCCTCAACCAGATCGCTCTCCATCTTCAGAAGCTGATCCTGAGCTTCTTTCAGTCTCTGATGAGCTTCACTCAAACTGGACTGAGCGGATATCAAAGCATCTCTCTCCTCTCCAACAGAACGCAGCTCTTCTGACAGACCGCACACCTGAGAAACAGCAAGTGAAGAGTTCATTTGCGAAAACCGATAAACGCCACTAAAAAAAACTGCATTATTCTCCACATATAGCGCTATCTGAACCCTAAACACGTTTTGTCAAAAAAGCCGGTTTTGTCCACTTTCAAGGCATCGTGAGTCCACGTTTCACTGCAGAAGCAGACAAGCGCTCTTGTTGTTTCTGAACAGAAGCCGATAAATCCATTCTAGCGAATCAGCGCACTGTATTCAGGTCAGGTGACAAGGCTACTTTCACTCTGAAAAGACGTGCTAGCTGAGAGGAGTTGCGTCAAAGCTGACTAAAAGTGATTGAGGATCATTTCGACGAACTTTAGAGAGGGAAAAGCTCCGTGTATTGCGTGTAATCACATCCATACAGTTTATGATCACAACAACAACAACTGAGGAGATTACAAAGATTAAACGAGTTATCTGCTTTTGCTATAAAACAAACTTTGTGTTTAAAAAAAAATAAAAAAAAAAAAAAATACTTTCAATGAACTTTAATTTTGTAAATTACCTGTATTTGTTTAAGTTGTTATTATTACTTAATCAAAACAACCCAACTGCAGTTTGATTGATATTACTTGGAATGCGCAATAAAAAAATAAAAAAAAAAGATTTCTGAAAAAATAAATATTTTGCAAATGAACTCTTCAAGTATATTAATAGGGCTTATGACCGGCGTCACATGCAGCTAGTTTCAGATCTCCAGCTGATGTCGCACCTGTTGAGATGTCTCTTGAAGGTTCAAGTTCAGCTGGGTTTTCTGCTCTAATAAAGTCTCAAGCTCTTCCTTTAGTGTCTGGATCTGCAGAATACAAGTTCAAATAGTTGCTCTTGGTTCAATTATTAGATCAGTTTGTGTTTAATCAGCCTGCTATGAATGTCCAGGGGCCGTTTCATAAAACAAGTTTACCAAATAAGCCAGGTTTATTTCAGTTAGTCTGACTTATTGTCAGTTGATTTGGTTCAAAATAAGTCAGAATAACTGAAATAAGCCTGACTTTTGTTTTATGAAACAGCCCCCAGGTCATAGTTCACCCAAGCACACAAAAACAAATAACTGTATCACAAATCTTCACTCATATTTTCATGCTTATACAATGCAAAAACAAATTAAACTGTTTAAATTAAGCATTTTTTGCATTTGGGTCAAAGACGAAAAAGGGTTGAAGCATAAAAACAATAAGTGTAATACTGCTTTAAATTGTTGTTGTTTATTTCCCCCTGATTTACAGAAGAGAGCCACTAAAATGTCATTCAGTGTAACAATCTTGTCAGGCATATTTACAACAAACAAACATCAATTTATGACATATTAAACAACTAATTACTTTCACTCCAAATACTAATTAGTCGTAATTTTACATTTCTAAAATGTGCCACTATCCTAGGTTTTGCGCATTTGTCAGTAAGAATTTTTTACTCATTTAAAACACAATCAAATTTAATATGCTCTCTTATTCTTTTATATATTTTAATATGTACACGTCAGAATAAGCATGTTTGAATTTTTACATAAATATTGCGTCACACTGAATGATAATGTAACATTATTTCAACCAAATTGTAACATTGTATCCTCCACAAACTTATTTGAAACCTTAAAAGTAGACACTTTACTTACATTTAATGTGCTTTCTATGGAGATATAATCACTTTTGTACATTTCTTTTAATGCGGACATCTTAACGTCTTTGACCCATTTACATTTTTAAAATATTTGTGCTGTACTAAAATATGCACATTTCTTCCTGAGTATTAAAGTCACCAGTACCTAATGAGAATCAGTGACGATGAGAATTCAACAAACAAAAAAAAGATACATGACGGTAAAATACAGTGAAATAAATTATTCCTGTGGTTTTGTTTGCAGCTTGACCTGTCTGAATGAGAGTTTAGTGATGATTACTCTTCTCACCATCTCATGTTTCTCTTCCAGATGTGTTTTCATCTGAATATTGTCCCTCTCCAGCTGCTGTAGTCTCTCCTGAAGCCGACCTCTCTCTTCAGTTAAAGATGAGACATCTGACTGCTCACGATGATCCGATCTCTTCTCACCAACAACAGCACTGAGCTCTTCTGTTAACTGCTTTATCTGCAAATAAACAACACTTTAACTCTTTCCCCGCCAAAGACGAGTTTTTACGGCTTTCTGTGTTTTCACTGTTATACACTCAGGGGCGCTATTACACATCTTCTGAACGAGTTCAAAGCCTCCCGAACAAAAACACACGTGAACAGGACGGAGAAACGAGCCATCTCTTATGTAAACAGATGCATATGAAAAATAACAGCAATAGACAGCAAATAAATAAACTGCACAATGTTACGGAGTGAAATGTGGATCCAGGACGTGATGTCTGTGCAAGCTTTGGAGGTGTTGATGGAAGCGATTTACTGGATTTATGCTTTGATAATCGTACTGAATATTACTCAGATGTTGTATTTGATAAAAATGTGATTTTGCTCAAAATTATGCATTTTTATGAAACCTACCTATTAGGGATGGCTCGATACCACAATTTTGACTTCGGTACGATACTAGGATCTAATACCTCGGTATCGATACTAAATCGATACCATAGGTGACAAATAACCAGCCTCAAAATACAAGTGAATTGAAAACAATTTTATTAAATGCACTGCTTGGAACTCTGCATGAAAAATTGTGCAAACAAAATGTACAAAAAAAAAAAAAACCTACACTGAACATAGGTCAGATTTTGATTTTGAAGAAAAAAAACTGAAGAGATAAAATAATAAAATGGAGACTGAATAAAATGGGTTCACATCTTCATATATTTTCAGTCTTTATTTTTTTGCTAGCTCCTTTGTTAGCTGCAGATTTTTGGACAGGAAAACTAATGTGTCAACGCTGTCACTTGATAGTCTGGACCTTAGTGGGCTACAGATCAGGCCTGATGTACTGAAAACTCTCTCAGAGGCTGAGCTTGATGCTGGAATGCAAAGGTAATATTTGGCAAATGTTGAAAGAATGGGGAGGCTTGATTCATGCCTTTTCCACCGAGAAAGTGGGTTTTCTGTGGCACTGGTCTCTTCCATGGTCTTGTATGTGTGGAGTAGGGCTGCACGATAAATCGCATGCGATATTTAATGTGCATCTGGTCAGTAAAGCCAGTTCTGTAATCAGCGGTAAATCTCCATCACGTACGTGCTTTCACATGGAGCAGCATTAACTACACAGAGCCGTTGTTTACTGACAAGCTGCACAAAAATAACTAAAAATAATATTACTGATCTTATTCAAATAAAAGTCTAAATTAAATCAGTTGAAAGAGACACATTTACCTGTCGATCTTTTAACTCCTTGAACAAATCAGGATGAGCAAGTGACAAATGTTCCCATGGCAGCACATGATTTATAGCAGCGCTTGCAGACTGGTGAATTAAGGTCGGTTGGTTCACCTTTTTCATCACATTTGTAGGCAAAGTAATGCCATATTTCACTTCTACCGCTTTTTCTTTATTAATTTCGGACGTGTAGAGTGAGTTTCACCTGTTTTATCCATTGTCGTTTCTCCGTTATGCTTGCCGGTTTCGCGTCAGTTTGGGTAACACTGCCACATAGTGGTGAACTTTGGAACAGCAGCGAATGAAATACCGAATTGAGCAAAATTATGATATCGTACCGTTTGAAATATAATATATACACCGGTATTTTTCCAGTACCGGTATACCGCACATCCCTACTACCTATATTCAAGTGTTGATAAAAAAAAAGAATGCTTTAAGATAGAATAAAACTGATTTTTTTTTGCTTAAAAGTAGAGGCTCTGATCTTTATTTTGATGTATTGCATATTCAAATACTCATACAGCAAACCATCAAATTTTAGTGAAAATCATCAAAATCGCTGGCGGGGAAAGAGTTAATACGGAGCATTTAAATAACTGAAAGCAGGTGTGTGTGGATACATCTACTACTATCAGCTATGGTATGGTAGAACTATATGATGCATGTCAAACAGCTCAGCCACCTGATCTTGTAGTTTGTCCAGCTGTCCATCTTCACAGCTCTTCTGTTGGTCGACCGTCTGAACTCTCTGCGACTCCGTGCGGTGTAGCTTTCCCTGAAGTTCCTTCACCTTCTCCTGAGCGTCTCTCAGCTCTGCTTGAGTCTCTATCATCTGCAGTGAATTAAACAAAGGATTAAAAGAAGTCTGACGTCAATTGAGATCATCATGGTGCAGGAATGAGCGCTCACCATCTCCACATTCTCCTCCATGTCCCTCTTGAGCTGGTCTCTCTGGTCTCTCAGGCCCTGCAGAATCTCCTGGAGTTGCTCTCGCTCTTCAGTTATTGAGCTGATGGTGCGTCGCAGGTTCTCCGTCTCATCCGGGTCGCTCTGAACTTCCCTCATCTTCTCAGACAGAAGCACATCTCTCTCGGCGCGGACAGACTCCAGCTCTGCGCTCAACTGCAGCGACTGACAGTAAAAACGGTGTTGAATCACTGGTAAAGCTGGTGGTTAGTGGGACTGTGTGTAGTGTGAGGTGTGAACGCACCTTCTGTGTGGCCTCCTCTAATGATGCGAGACGTGTGCAGTTCTCCTGCGTGACGTGCTGGAGATCCGTCTGGAGGTTCAGGAGACGTTCTGATGTCTCTGTGAGCTGCTGGGTCAGTTCTGCTTCCTTCAGCTGAGCCTCAACCAGATCGCTCTCCATCTTCAGAAGCTGATCCTGAGCTTCTTTCAGTCTCTGATGAGCTTCAATCAAACTGGACTGAGCGGATATCAAAGCATCTCTCTCCTCTCCAACAGAACGCAGCTCTTCTGACAGACCGCACACCTGAGAAACAATAATGGATGAGATTTAGCCATGCAGACACAAAAACAAAGAAAGCTAGCAAAGACGATGTGATGCAGTTCCTCTAACCTGTCTCTGTAATTCATCTGCTTTAACAGAAAGGGTCTCTAACTCCTCCATCTTACTCTGCAGACATCGCTCCCTCTCGTGACTCTGATCAAGCTCCTTACGCAAGTCACACACCGTTTTCTCCAACACGAGATTATTGGTCAGATCTGTGAAGAGGAAACATCAATTTGATATATTACATAAGATTACAATAACTGAAACACTCCTGGCAACCAGCTGATTAAATCTTAAATGGAACAGTTGCCCCTAAAATAAAATAAAGCAATAATCCCCGTGAAGCCGTGGTTTACAGTGCATTTATAACAGCTAAGGGGCGTTGTTAGGTAAATTCACTGTAAACCACGGCTTCACGGGGCTTATTGCTTTTATAAAACGGTTATTCCATATACGTAGTAAGGTTTCACAAAATAAAACAGAGCAAATAAAGTGTAATGATATTAATAAAAACAGTATTCTTCCACCAAACAATGTAGCTCCTCAGAAACAGTTGTGGTTGCAACAAAGTGGTTGCCGAGCAACACACAAACGTAAACAAAGGTGTATGTTACTTTGTAGTGTCATTTACAACAGCTTTGAACGCGGCTCAGCCAATCAGAATCAAGCACCGGAACTATCCGTTTTATAAGCCTAAATTAAACCCGTTCATCACAAAACGAGCGTCTTTTCAGAAGACTTGGATTAAGCAGCTCGATTCATATACATTACTTTTACAATGTCTTTACGTGCATTTTAAAGCTTGAAAATTAATCTCTCTTTCAATTAATGGACAAAAAATGAGAATCTTTATAAAAAAACAAAAAAACAAAACAACATCTTTGTTCTAAAGATTAACAAAAGTCAGAACGACATTAAAAATTAAAGAATTAAGAATTTTCATTTGCGAGGAAACTATCTGGTTCATTTTGCCTGAAACGTCAGCATTTCAAACATTTAATGATCGTCGTGAATTGTTCACAATTCAACCAGAAGCATGACTTTAGAGATCATATGCAGTCATGGATCATGAAGTCCCTTCTGTACGTTCTCCACCTACTTTTTGGTACTTTTCCGTCCAGCACAGCGGTCAGTTTGGTGTTCTCATCGAAGGCGCCCATCAGTTCTTTTTGAAGATCCATTTGCATCGTCTTGAAGCGAGACTTCTCTTGTTCTAGCTTGTCCTGAATCATCTTCACCTCAGCTTCCATCTTCTCATGGTCTGTAGTCAGGTTTGCCTGAGTGAAACACAGATAGAGTCACTTAAACGCCACGCACACCCTGATCTCTCCCTCATCTCTCCTCTACTCACGTCTCTCTCCTTTAGTGAGATGTTCTCGCTCCGCAGGAAGGCCCATTCTCTCTTGGTCTCCAAACTGAGACACTCTGCATCATCAAGAGAGCGCCGTAGACGTGTCACTTCCTGGACAAGATTCTTGTCACTCTGCAGAACACAATAGAGCACAAACAATCTGTAGCCACAGGAGAGCAGAGTTACTTTTTCCTAGAAAGCATGATAATTTAACTAAATATCTGCATGTGTGACCCTGGAGCACAAAACCAGTCTTAAGGGTCAATTTTTTGAATTTGAGATTTATGCATCATATGAAAGCTGAATAAATAAGCTTTCCATTGACGTATGGTTTGTTAGGATAGGACAATATTTGAAAATCTGGAATCTGAGGGTGCAAAAAAATCTAAATATTGAGAAAATCATCTTTAAAGTTGTTCAAATTAAGTGCATATTACTAATCAAAAATGAAGCTTTGATATATTTACGGTAGGAAACATACAAAATATCTTCATGGAACATGATCTTTACTTAATATCCTAATGATTTTTGGCATAAAAGAGAAATTGATCATTTTGACCCATACAATGTATTGTTGGCTGTTGCTACAAATATACCCCAGCGACTTGAGACTGCTTTTGTGCTCCAGGGACACATATAGATCCACATCTAAACGACTGGTTTACAAGCGTGAGCTCCCCTTGTGTCTTGAGCAAATGATAAATATTGTATAAATAAGTTCCCATTGCCAAACATTCTCTCCAGGTATCAGCATCAGACACTGAAATCCCACATTACACAACCAGTAACGTACAAAATTCTGCAGCTCAGTGGTCAGGTCGGTCTTCTTCTGAAGCTCCGATGAAATCGTCGCCAGCTCAGCCTATGGACAACGACAGTGAGATCATCTCACATTTACACAAGTCTGGGTTTTAAGAGCAGCTACATGACAAAGTTAACGGACCTGCAGCTTTTGGATCATGTCTTCCGACTGTTTTAACTCCTGCTGCAGTTTGGAGTTTTCAGACTCCAACTCTCTCTGTGTGGAGAGAAATTAAAATAGCTTATTATGAGCTGTCAGACACGGATTATCAGTGGAAGCAAGAAAACAAGTAATTAATAGTCTTGCATGTGTTAAACTGCACTTTGCACACACGATAAAGCTCTGATCACCTCATACTCTCTCTTGCTCTCCTGCTCCAGTTTCTCAAACTCATCTGCATCTTTCCTCTCGTCGATGTCCTTCTGCAGAGCGTCTTTATCTTTCTGAAGTGAGTCTTTCTCTGCCTTCAGACTCTCCAGATCTTCGTTTACCAGCTGAAGCGAGTGTTTGATCAGGTCTCGCTCAGTAATGATGGCATCCTTTACAAAATAATTCAAAAAATGGCGTTCAAAATGGGGTTGCAAACTGCAAAGGGGTGGAAAATTTCTTGTAAGTTTCCGGAAACTTTCCAAAAATCCCTGGAATATTCCAAAAAAATCCTGGAAAGTTTCCGAAATTTACAGGAAATTTTCCACCTTTTTGCAACCCTAATTCAAAACCCATTATACTACTGTAACGTGAAGCATTTTTCAAATGGAAAAACAAGCCAAAGAAAAATAAAGGATGTCGTTTACTCACTTTCTCAAATACGACAGTCTCACAGAGCTGAATGGTCTCTTCCAGATCTTTTCTCAGCTGAACACACAACACAATTTTTAATCAACAATTATGGTCAACGGAAAGAAAAGTTTTAAAACCCCATCAATGCCCATGGTTTAAAATCCACCTTAAACATAAGGCAGGAGTTGTTGTACCTGTTCACACATCTCACAGCACAGGAGAGCTTCTGAAGGTTTCTCCAGCTCTGCCACCTTCAGTTCCAGTGAGGAGCTTTTCTCCTCAGCCTTCTGTCTCTCCTGAACCTCCGTCTGTAGTCGACTCTGCAGCGCCTCCAGCTCAGACACGGTCTTCTCCTCCTCTGATGGTGCAGCTTGAGCTTCCAGCTTCTTCTGCAGTTCAGAGATCTCCAGCTGGAGTTCAGCGCTCATCTCCTCTGCTCTCTGTTTGCTCTGAGTCTCTGCCTCCAGCTGACGCTCTAGAGACGACACCTTCAACATCAGCTCGCTCGCTCGGGGAGAATCTAGGAAATGACTCCTGAACAGAGAGAGGAGAAAACAAAAATAAAAACATGAATTTGTGAGCAATGCTGTGAAATAGACACAATCTCTCCATGCAAATAAAGGTATGTCGCATCTATAACAAGTTATGAGTTAAGGTCGTATGATTTCCGTGATGCAGAGGGAATCCGGTGCAGTCGTGAACATGGAATTTACAGAATAACGAGAATATCACGTAAAACACGCAATCTGATGGATGGATAAATCAAAAGTAATTATGATGTGTCTGTGAATATTACAGCACAAAGAGACTGCTATATGAATAATCTGCTTGTTTCTGCATGTCTCTGAGTGGCGGCGTTTTATCTACTACACACTGAAGTATGCATGACGCTAATGGTGTTTTCAGCATCTACATAAATGCATTGCACAAATTCGAACATCTGGGTTGTGCTGTTCTGTTGTAAATAAATCTTAACCAATGAAAACCATTGTCAAATACACAGGTCTGCTACAACCTGTCGAAATAAAAGTTTGATTTAACTTGAAATTATGACAGAAATATTAGCATTGTACAATGTACTTCAAAGTTATAACAACAACAATATTATTCTTTATAATAATGAATTTATTTAAACATTATTCAAGGAATATCATGTTTGTCCATGTTTTAACTTGGTATACCTCTGTTGAGCAGCCCTTTGCCAAAAATAAAAGGAATTGTTACATTTTCATTCATTTGATAACATTTTAAAACATGAATTAAAATATTAAAGAGCAATATAGATATACATAAGATGTATACCTTTATTTTTTTTTTTATTGTTTTTTTTTTAATGAAATGTATTATTTTGTTCAGAAAGGAGGCTTCAATACTTTCATTAAAAGGGTTTCAAGTTTGTTGTAATAAAGGATTTGTTCACTCAAATAACTTGTTCTTATTCTTTTAAGAGTCATTGTTACGGATAAGAATTATTGTTTAATATATACCGTGAAACCGTGATATTTTCTGAGACTATTATCATACCGTGAAAATCTCATACCGTTACAACCCTAGTTTTGTTTATAGTTGTTTAAGCAACTTTATTAATTATAATTGGTTTCTAAACATTATGCACTTTTTTCACAATAAGCAATTCTTATGTTATTGCTTTGAAGAAACCTGCATTCATAATATTTTGCTCAATGCGCCCTCTTGTGGCCTCAGGAGAGAAGCCAAAAGCTTTTTTTTCACCTTAACTGAAATTATGCACTTTAAATTTGAATATTGATAATATAAGTACAAAATTTGAATTTCGTTTTTCAGCCATTTTGACAGCCCTATAATGTGATATTTTTTTTTTTTAGTTTAATAAATAAGTTAATTAAGAGACTTACGTTTTAGAAACCATATTGACTGTTTTTCCTCTATTTCGCCAACAAAAATAATACCAAACACAGGAACAGCACTGTTTCGTGTCTCTGAGCAACATGATGCGTTTCGTTCCTGAATGATTCGGTTCAGTCGCAATGACTCACTTACTAACAGTGACTTGCTGCCACCTACTGGCGGTTTTGATTTCACATTTAAAGTATCTTTTGATTTAAATAATTTCAAATATCAGTATTCAACGTTTTATGTTTAATATATCAAAATATTATTTATGCATTTGTAACTGCAGGTTAAATGCATACTTGTCCTGCATTAAACTGTGTAAATACATCTAAATGCCACTTCAGACACAGCTTCGGTGTTTCTTCTGCATTATCTAATTCACTGATTAACCGATCCTTGAGATTGGCTCAGGACATCCCTAGTAAAAGCGGTTCTAAGACAGTAGTAAGAGTCCTCACCCTTCAGAGGAGCTGCGGACAGCGATGCTGCTCATCTCCATGTCGGGTTCGTCCAGAGCAGTGAAGTCAAACCGACTGTCAAACTCATCCATATCTGGACACAAAACATTACATTACATTTATCTGGTGTAACACTGACCATGTTTACAGGCTCGTTTTCACAGCTAATGCAGTATAATTTTCATGTAAAGCTAATTTTCTCCAATGATAAGACAGTCATACCCTCTCCCTCTTCAGGCAGAGAACAATCAGCTCTTCTCTTTTTGATGTACGGCTCTGCAAAGCTCATGTCCGTCGAGGCAAGATCTTCATTCACGAGATGAGCAGATCTCAGCAGTTTCCCTCCCCACGTCACTCTCCTCTTGGGAACCTTCACATTTAAACGCAACAATCAGATCTTCACCAGCACTGAGGTTTACGTTGTTAAATCTAGTGAAATCGGTCACCTTAGGGACTAGGGCGACGTTTGAGGCAGTAACGAGTAGCTTGGTTAAGTTCTTGATCCTGTCCTCCTGCTCTCTCTGGAGCTGGTCTTTCTCCTGCAGAATCTGACACAGAGACTCTCGCTCGGTCGCAGTAGTTTGTGTGACTGAAGAAACCTGGGAAACGAGACGGAAAACAATCGAGTCAGAAGATGATGGGTCGTGTTAATACTGGACGAGAACTAGGGCTGTCACTAACCATTATTCTGGTAATAGAGTAATCGGTTGAGTAACTGAATTATACTTTTTTTTTCGTAATAAAATAGACCTAAGTGAACAATAGCCTTTAAAATGCATATATAATAGCAATAATAATTAGTTCACATAAAGCAAGTAATTATATGGTTTTATTGAACAAAACTGTTAAAATACATTATAATGTACATTACACACTATAACAATTGACTGCAGAGGGCGCCAATGGCCTGTTTGTTTTACACTTTACTGCGCAATCTAATCCTTAATATCGACTAAACATTTAATTCACATGTCCACTTAATCTTTAACATTTGGCCATTTCTTTACGACAGAAATGCTACAGCCGCTGTAATTTCTTGAACATGTGGACATCAAAACGTGTAAACTCAAGAGCGAGGGTTTGAGCTTTTATTTTGAAATGGTGATGAACGGTTAGCAAATTGAGAAAGATATTGATGTATTCTCCTGTGTTTGTGTAGGTTGAGACACTCCACAACTGTAAATGAAATGTTTGTGCGGAGCAGCGTTTACTGTGAATGGAGTTGCTGTGACACACACGTACGTAACCGACACGCATGTAAATAATTAAAGCACATATTAAACCTGCATCGCCTATATTTAATTGAATCACAGCATTTGTGAATTCACAATAGCATTATGCTTTATAATATTTAAATGGGTTTAACATATCATGCAACCTTGGAAAACGGTCTAATAGGGATGTAACGATTCACTCAACTCACGATTCATGATTTTTTTTTGTACAAAATGAGATTTAAGACAAATTATAAATTAAAAGCATCCTTTTATTATTGCTTGAACAAAATACTGTACGTTTCTTTGTGAAATTTAAATATAACACTATAATAATATACTAATATAGCACTTGTAAATTATTGCTTTTGATTGCTTCTATTGTCCTCATTTGTAAGTCGCTTTGGATAAAAGCGTTTGCTAAATAACAAAATGTAAATATAATGTAAATGTAAATAACTAAACTAAATTGAAAATTTAAAACAAGCCCCAAATCAAATAAATAACAAATAAAAGAAATCTCTTCATATAAACAAAACTAAGGCTTTGTCTGTGCTCTTTCCATTTAAAATTAGAGGCAACCACTGCATTTTAATCACGATCCAAACAAAGATGCTGCATACATGCAACATGAGCAGTTTTTAATCTAAATTAGATTGTATAATTTCGAAATTTGAAGCAAAAACAGAATGGTTTGACTTCAGTTTTGTGAAGCTATACATAAAAAATATCTGCATGAAACAGAAACAGCAGACGAGAAGAACGAGACGCAGATTCACTCTCTGCCAGCAGGTGGTGCTTGAAGCGTTTCCTTGGTTACCGCTGTAAACAAAGTAGCGCTGCACTTATGAACAGCAATGACAGTGTTTCCTTGGTTACCGCTGTAAACAAAGTAGCGCTGCACTTATGAACAGCAATGACAGTGTTTCCTTGGTTACCGCTGTAAACAAAGTAGCGCTGCACTTATGAACAGCAATGACAGTGTTTCCTTGGTTACCGCTGTAAACAAAGTAGCGCTGCACTTATGAACAGCAATGACAGTGTTTCCTTGGTTACCGCTGTAAACAAAGTAGCGCTGCACTTATGAACAGCAATGACAGTGTTTCCTTGGTTACCGCTGTAAACAAAGTAGCGCTGCACTTATGAACAGCAATGACAGTGTTTCCTTGGTTACCGCTGTAAACAAAGTAGCGCTGCACTTATGAACAGCAATGACAGTGTTTCCTTGGTTACCGCTGTAAACAAAGTAGCGCTGCACTTATGAACAGCAATGACAGTGTTTCCTTGGTTACCGCTGTAAACAAAGTAGCGCTGCACTTATGAACAGCAATGACAGTGTTTCCTTGGTTACCGCTGTAAACAAAGTAGCGCTGCACTTATGAACAGCAATGACAGTGTTTCCTTGGTTACCGCTGTAAACAAAGTAGCGCTGCACTTATGAACAGCAATGACAGTGTTTCCTTGGTTACCGCTGTAAACAAAGTAGCGCTGCACTTATGAACAGCAATGACAGTGTTTCCTTGGTTACCGCTGTAAACAAAGTAGCGCTGCACTTATGAACAGCAATGACAGTGTTTCCTTGGTTACCGCTGTAAACAAAGTAGCGCTGCACTTATGAACAGCAATGACAGTGTTTCCTTGGTTACCGCTGTAAACAAAGTAGCGCTGCACTTATGAACAGCAATGATAGTGTTTCCTTGGTTACCGCTGTAAACAAAGCAGAGCTGCGCTTCTAAACATTAATATGCATTATACAGAGGCAAGAGGAAAAGAAAAAAATGTAAGACAGTCAGTTCCCCTCAGACATACATTCATATAAATTCCTACCCCTAACTGAATCGCTATTTGTTTAGCATCTGAACCGATTTGAATCGTCACATTTAAATCGATTTTCAACCGGCTCGCGGTTAATCGTTACATCCCTACAGTCTAATAATGCGTTTCATGGATTCTCGTTTTTAAAATAGAGTACTCGAACTGAATCGTGACAGCCCTGAAGTGAACCACATCCTCACCTCCTGCAGACGTCGTTTGAGATCGACGATCTCATTGCGGTATCTTCTCAAGAGAGCCCCTTCATCAGAGACCTCCGTGACGTGAGGGTCGTTCTTCATGCGCTTCGCAGCACTAGCGAACTTTAACCACAGTAAAAACACCAATTCAACACATCTACCCATATCGCTCCAGATCGGTAACGAAGGGTCTTCTCTCGTACCTGTAAAGTGCTGACGGTCTCGTCGACAGTGGCTGGGGTGATGGTGCAAATAATGACAGTCTTGGCATTGCCACCCAAAGAGTTCTGAAGGATTCGGGTGAGTTTACTGTCTCTGTAATTCAAGAAGCCCCTTTCGGATGGAACAGAAACACGTTTGTTACAGTTAGAGCAAAAACCGATTCAGTGACGGTAAAACTTCCTACTGCAAGTCATGAAATAACTCACTTCTGACTCTCATCAGATAATTTCTTAATGACTTGACCCAGTGTGAACAAACTGCGGTTTATGTTGCACCCTTCTTTAAAGCGGGCTCCTGAAAGAGAGGAACAAGAGAGGTTCAAACACCAAAAAGATAAAAGCACCTCTGTCATTTTAGACTGTAAGTACCAGCTACTTGCTATGAAAGAATTCTAGATTTTATGCTTAGAAAATAAACATTCAGATATTTTAGACATTATCTGTCAAGGTTTAGTTTTTTTTTTTTTTTTTGCAATAATGCTTACAGCAATCGACTCCTGTTCAATTTCACTGTCTAAATTAATCTTTTGCACTTTGGATGTTTTATTGTCTCATAAATGGATGTGTTTGTTCACTACTGTGAGTAATATACAGATTTAACTGAACACATAAAAGAAAAAATTGGTCGGTCAAAGTGACTTTTTAATGACCACTTAGACTCATCGAATGAAGTTTTAATCCACTCAGAGTGAGGAAACCATTTTTAAATGTGACCCTGGAGCACAAAACCAGTCATAAGGGTCAATTTCTCGAAATTGAGAGTTATACATCATATGAAAGCTGAATAAATAATCTTTCCATTGATGTATGGTTTGTTAGGCTAGGACAATATTTGGCTGAGATACAACTATCTGAAAATCTGGAATCTGAGGGTGCAAAAAAATCTAAATATTGAGAAAATCATCTTTAAAGTTGTCCAAATGAAGTTCTTAGCAATGCATATTACTAATCAAACATTAAGTTGATATATTTATGGTAGGAAATTTACAAAATATCTTCATAGAACATGATCTTTACTTAATATCCTAATGATTTTTGGCATAAAAGAAAAATCGATAATTTTGACCCATACAATTTTTTTTTGGCTATTGCTACAAATATACCCCAGCGACTTAAGACTGGTTTTGTGCTCCAGGATCACATAT